GAAAAAGAGACCGCGCCAATATGTGCATCACAAGCCGGACCAGCTACCACCCAATCAGGCCGCTCCTATCGGCAAGTCCCCACCACCACCCAATCCGGTCCCAATGCAGCGTGTTGTTCTTGCAGCTGCTGTTGACGTTGCTGTTGGCTGGCCTGCAACAGGCGGATTCTCTTTGGCATCTTCCTTTGGCTTGCGTATTGCTGGCTGCTTGCTGCTGGCTGGTGTGCTGCTTGCTGTTGCTGCTGCGGGGGCTGCTTCTGCTGCTGGACTGCTCCTGTTGCCGCTGTTGTTGCTGATGTGCTTCCAAATTGCTGGTGTGGCTGCTGTTCGCTGTGCGTGGCTGTTGTGCTTGTTGGTGTGCTTTCTGTTGTGCTTGATGTTGTTGTTGTGCTGCTAGCATTGGTTGTCTAGTCTTGCTGCTGTTGCGCCTGTGCTTGCAATAACTGTTGCTGTGCTTGTGTTGTCTTGTTTGGTGGGCCTGCTGCTGCTGCTGTTGATGATCTCCCTGCAGTGCATGCTTTACCTGCTCAATTCCTTGCTTGATTGTTTGTTTTTCTTGCTTGAGTTTTGAGTTGTTGAGAGCGAGGAGACTGGTAACGTGACTCAATCTTTGCTTGTCCACACTCTTGGCAGCTTTTGTTGTCTTGGTCCTTGAATCTTCATTGTCGTCGATCCCATCTTCTTAAATACTTCTCCTCTGTCTTCGTCGCACTCCTCTCTCTCTCTTGTCTTCGTCTTCTCCTCTTCTTCATTTCTTTTCTTCCTCCTTGTCGTCCTGCTCTCCTCTATGCGCGTCGTTCCACCGTCGTCGTCTTCTGTAGGACCGTCTTGACCGCTTTGGGAACTCCATTGGGCAGAAGCTCTTCGGCCTATTCGCGACTTCTATGCGTTGTGTCGTTGTCCGTGGCATGGCTCCATTGAGCGGCAAGCATTTGGCTTGCTGCTGTTGGCTTGTTGCTGGCTTGTTGTTGCTGCTGCGCCATCATGGCCATCATCATGCGATCTGATGGGACATGCCACCTCCCGCTCCTTGTGCCGCATTCAGAGCTGCCAATTGCGCTGCCATGGCTCCATTATTATTATTGCCATTATTCATACCACCATTATTCATACCAGCGCCACCATTGGTCAACGGTCCTCCTTGCTTGAGCGTGTTGTACTGTTCCACGACGCCCACGAGAAATCGCTTGAGCTTGTTGGGATCGTCCACGCCAGGTTGGAACTGAAGACCGTTACTGCCATTGCCGGATTGGCCGTTGCCGTTCGGATGAGGGTGGCTGCCGGACATGCTATTGTCAGTGTTTTATAACAAGTTGGATGGACTGGGTGACTGACTGCCTTTGTGGGGTACAGTACTGCAGTGGATGGAGCTGTGATGGGGAACACAGTGATGGAGAGGTGATGGGATGCGATGCAGCCAAAGATGGGATTGAAAGGTTGGGTCCAGATGAGAGAGAGAGAGAGCTAAAGAGACTGGAAACGGCAGAGATGCTGATGATTGGGATCACTTCGGTTGGCTAACTGAATGAGAGAGAGAGATCGTGTGTGCTGTGGGATCGATATACCTGATATGCTACCTCGTCTATCTATTCGGAGATCTCTCAAGGTGGTCGAAAAGATGGATTTGTGCTCGTTGTGAGTGATGGTTGCAGTGCGATCCAAAAAAACACAAAGAATGATTCAACCGGTGATCGCGGTTGCGCGGTTGTGAGTAGGCTTCCCGAGAACTTTGTGAAACGCTTGGGCAATTGTTGAAACTGTCTTACCTCAAGACCATTTGTAGTTCAACGGGGTGAAAAGACATTCTGATGAGTTTTACAAGCTTCTCACGAGCTACTCACGTCCTCAAAGTAGTCACCTTCGATCGAAGAGCGCTTTCTTTTCTTTACTTAAAACATTCTTTCCTTGTTTGCCTGAGTAGATCAATTGATTTAACATCCTCCTTACCTTCCTGCAATCCTGACCACTGTGAGTCTCTGAGTTGTGAGTCTGTTGTGACGGCGACCGGAGAAAAACTATCCATTTGTCATGGAGAACCCCCGCTTTATTTCCGGTTTGTGAACCGGCAAGAAGGCAGCAATAGGTGACCCCGAAAGCCATCATAGCGGCCATAAAGTACCGGTGATGGTCGATGCAATTGAAACAGGCATGAATAGACCTACCGGTATTGAGCAGGAACGAATGAATCAGCTGCAAGGTCCTGAAACCATTATGAAGTTTTGAAATGTTTCAAACAATTTTAGTTTCTCATTTTTAGTTTCACTTGCTCATTTCTACTTTCTCAAGTTGAGAAACTAACAGTTTATTTTCTCCTTTTGCCGCACATTTAGTCTACTTGTAGTTTCTCCTATTGTTTCTCATTTCAAAAGATAGTTTCTCATTTTCGACAAATAAGAAACTAACTTTCTCATTTCTCAAATGAGAAACTACTTTCTCATTTGAGAAACTGTCAAAAAGGATTTCAGTCATGCTTCCGAACCTTGCAGTTGTAGCAGCAGGCAAAAACAGCTGCAGAAAACGAAGCGTGCAAGACCTTGTGACCTTGTGATGGATCCACCCAGTCATCTTCTCTGTGGACCTTTTGTTTATTGGCAATTTCGCGACGACGGCGGAATCAGCTGCGGAACCGCAATTGCATCCACAGTCATTACTTACTTGAGAAAAGAAGGTTGCAGCTCGTCAGTGGAAACCATGTGTGATTAAATTTTGTGATTCTGAGAGTGACTCGACACGACTCATTGCTTCAGCGTTGCGTACCAGTACTCGTACAGTGTATTCCTACTGACAGCAGAAGATAACCTCGACAGCCGCTGACATGCTGCAGCTCATGCTGGTGGTCAAGTGCCCAGCAACCTATCGCAAAGTATGTGTATGTACCGTACCCGCTAAAGCACTAAAAGTGAACCCTCAACCGGTTGTTATGGCAGCTTTCGCTACTTGCTACTACACAAGTGCATGCACCTAGAAGCTCCTTATACTAGATGTGTATCCGACTCTCAGCCAATCCGCTTCAATCTTCAATGCCAAGGGAGAAAGAACAGAGACAGCATCTGTCTGCCAAAGATACTGATAGCAACTGCTTACTCGGGAGTTCATTGGGCTCTTCCATGTCGTTGAATCTAGCCAAAGGGACCTTATCAGTTTTTTTTTAAACCCTTGTTTGGTTGATGCGTCGAGACGTCACCCTCCACAGTATTAAATTTGTTAATTGAAGGATCATTCTAGATCTACCCAGACGCCTGTTGATTGATCCTTTGATCTTTGGTCAGCCGTTCTAGCAGTAGGCCGTCGGAAAGGCTCCTTGGGAAAACATCAACTACAGTATGTCCGCTACAGATAAAGCTACAAGTACCACACATTGCACTGAGGACGAGCTCGACACCCCAAAGCCCCAAAGAAAATTAACGGGGCGGTACCAGGTACTGCTGCGACATTGACCTCCATATCCACCAGATGCATGTCCCAAGAGCAAGCCTGTCCCTACTGTGCCTAGTATCACCGGCTTGCGAGACAGAGGTACTGGTACCCGCTACCGTATGGGAGAGATTAGAATCAGATGCACATAGATCCAGCTGATCCACGAAGCCAACCCAACCGAACCTGTTCAAGCCAACAGCTCAAATTGTTTTCACCTGGCTAGCTGGCTAGACTAGCTAGCCAGAGAGTCAGTACTGACATCAATATATAAAGATATTTGGTGAAGGGCGAAACCTTGGAGCGCAGTGCTACCGGTAGCAGTTGCCTGACCACCAGTTTGGGTTCTTCCGTGGCTTTCTTACAAGAAATTATCAGATGCGCACCTCCTCTTCTGTTGAACTCAAGATGGATGCACGTCTCCTCTCGAGATCAACCAGTTCTATTTTACTTTTCTAAAGTTTAGGTTTACGTTGGAAAAATGGTGGATTCGGGCTCTTCCATCCTGCTGCGCTACATCTGCAGGAAGGAATTCCAAAAACTCTAGAGGACGCAAGCAAACTGTAAATTCTCTTCGATACTCCACATGGAAACAAAAATTGTCTTGGCAGCTACATTCACACTGAGAATTCCCCCATGGAACCGTTCGAGCTGCTGTCCTCCTCTTCTCCCGGGCTGGATGAGGAGTCCGAGCTGTTTTCAGTATCTTCAGGCATTTTGACGGTGATTGTGGGTTCCAGTTGACGCGCGATACCAAACAAAAATAGACTTTCCTGAGCTGGCAAAGGAAGCGTGCGGAAGAGAGTGTCCTCGGCAGCCTCGGGAGGAGCCAAAACATCGACACCAATGGTGGAGGGAGGAGCCGCAATCGACGCTAGACAGCCTAGAGTGGCCAGGCCAACAATACCAAGAATGTGTGAAGCCCATGCAGACTCGTGAGTGGGTCCTCCGAGAAATGCATCCCAGATATACCAGACAAAGCGCCAAAAGTTGACCGTTCCCAGGGCAAGGATGAGGTTCTTGACACGAGAAATGATGCGCTGCAGGGAAGGACTGCTTTGGAAGGACTTTGGAAGGAAGAAGAGCACATCATCACTGGCTACTACGAGGCAGCCGATGGCAATCAAGAAAGAGTAAAGGATGGACAAGTACAGGGCATTGTTGTCTGCGACAAATCCCCATAGGTAGTTGTCCATAAGACCCCAGCATCCCCTCCAAAAGCCCAAAACAAAGATTGGTAAGACAAGGAAGCTGCCCAAAATGTCAATGCCATAGAGAGCCTTGGGCAAGGAAGGTGCGTCTTGAGAGTTTGCCGGGAGGACCTGATTGTAAATGCTAGTTAGAATAGTGACTCCAATCGCGGGAGAAGCTCCGTTGCTGGGACCATCCAGAAGGTACACGGAAGGTGGAGCAAGCAAAGAGGCTCCAGCTCCCATTGCATGAGCACCCGCAATTCCAATCAAAGTTGTTGTCCACCAAGAGAGAAAAGGTTCCTCGTAGAGGACCCAGTAGTCCAGACCGTACCAGATGCCACGCCATAAGTGGATGGCGGCAGTCCCAAAGCCGAACACGGTTATGCAGCGAAGCATGACAGCTGCGCCATAGCGCAGATCAGCAACAAGTGGGTATCGTCCTTGGTCACTAGCCGTTTTTTGGTTTCCTACAGCAAAGCTGTACTCCCATGCTCCACTCCAAATGAATAGTACAGAAACGAACAACCAAAGCAACCCAATCCAGTAGGATCGAATGGCCGAGTCTATTCGGACTTGTGCACGGATGTCTGCGGCACCGCAAAAAGTCAATCCGTCGACAAGAGCAGTCTTAGAGGGACTTTGTGAGCAATCCCAAAGGTCCATCAACGTCCAGCCACCTCTCCAGAAGCTGACCACCAAAAATCCAATGAGAAAACTGAATGACCAGTCCATCACTATATACTTCAGTTTCCAGTTGTGATGGGGCTTGGTGATTTCTGCAAAAGTTCTTTCATCGCTACTACTAGGCTTTGCAATGTCGATTTCCAACGGCGCTACCGGCACCATTGGCTTTGCTGTAGGGTTGGTGGGTTCCTGAAGTTTTCCCATCATGATTAAAAGTTATTGGACGTTCTTAGTGATTTTAGCTGATCGGTGTGTTTGTCTTTGTTGTGTTTGTTATTTGGTTGCTTTTCTTTTTTGTTTTGATCGGTTTTTGTGAGCTTGGATTGGGTTTGTCTTTCTTGAGTGCGGGCTTCGGAGTCCTCGAGATCTTTGGCCAAAACACGGAGAGCATCGGCGCGATCTGGGATGCTGCTCAGTAGTGCTGGGCAGATCGAATCGTGCATCGATTTGGTTCGCATTTTTGTTCTCTCTGTTCCTCCTTGAAACCCTTGAATTTTGAATTTTTGTTTTTTGAATACGTTGTGAGTAGTTAAGTACCGTACCGGTACTGTACTGGTGGGAGTACTTCATGTTTTTGACAAAACGTTGTTTTTGTTTTTGGCTATTCGGCTAATTCGAAATTCCTCGGTTCTTCCTCCCGTTGCCTCCTTCAAACTCGAGCGAAGTTGTTTGCCGGTTCCAATACTACCGGGTCTGTTGCTTGTTGACTCGACTCGGAGAACGGCGACGCAAGTACATATAAGCAACACACTGGCTTTGCGTCGCTTGCTACCGGTAGGGGTTGGTTTGATGCAGCTAGCTAGACTCAAGCCTCCTACCGATACACACTTTCCAGGTACCAGCACCAGCTGCTGCAGCAATAAACTGGGATTGTGAGCTTTCACTTCCACTGCAATATTGGTAGCACTTGTTGTTGTTGCTTGGTTGGTTTGGAGCCTTGTGTGATTCACCACGCGCATTGAGCAAGTCAATAGAGGCAGAGAGGAAGCTGCATGTACGGAGAGTCAAGCCGCAATAAGTTCCAATCCATCAAACAGGGTTCGACCGGTACATTATTCATAGTTTCATCTTCAACAATCAAGTCGGGATTTGAGTTGATAAAGAGTGGCAGTCTTCCCCGATGATACAACCAAGGGGTATGCACCCCTCACAAGACGAGGTGCAACTCAACCACAAAGTTTCTCACGAGTGCAAATTGTAACAACACGGCAATATTATGGGAGCCAACTGTTCCGACCACCAGCTTTACGGGTTCGGTAACCATGAAGTATACCTTTGGCAACACGGTCACCATTCGCACAGCTCGAAGCATCACTTGGAAGCAATGTGCCTCGTGATTTGAACAAGCATGTGGCCTGCATCAGTGGACGCTGAAACTTTCCTCGCTATACATCTGATGATTTTGGAACTGCCAGATGGCGCTGCAGGAGCCTTGGTGGCTTCCATTCACAATCAAGCAGAGAATGACATGGTTCGTCGTGTCATTGCTCAATCAAGTTCAGGAGTCGAAACGACGTGAGGGTTGGCCTCTTGATCTGCCAGATGATGAGACATCAGACTATGAGCATTGGAAGATGCCCCCCCCCCCC